CCAAAGTCCCAAACTCCACATTGGAAACCTTGAGCCCACAACTAACTCCCTCCTACATGAGACTGGGGCTAACACAGCCTGCTATTAGATGTGGTTTGGGGCTCCTGGAAGACACATCCTAAGTGTTCTTTGGTACTCAGATAATCATTTGAAAGATTACAAGTTTTCACAGAGAGACTCTTTCTACCTCTATCAGATGGAAGACATATGCTGCAAATTGCACACTGCACATCAAGTGTCATTATCCCACACTGTTTGATGCAAAACTTTCCCTGCAGCCTTGGCAAAAAAGTGAGACATTGAACACTGACCTACGTGCAACTCTAGATACCTGGTATGTTAAGTATCCACCACACATGCTTCTAAGAGAATTTGAAACAACCTTAAAGGTGGAATTCATCTGCCTTAACTAAGGTATTCAACAGCTGGATGACTAAAACTGAGCTAGTCACTCTTGGCTGCCTTTGTTATTAATAGAGATAAATAGATACTGTCAAAAGGCTTTTCCACCTCATCCTGTCTTGAGCAAGTGAACAGCCCTTCAGGCAGTAGCTATTTGTGGTTTCCACCAACAACAAGAGGAACCTAGCTGAGACTGAGATAGCTGCCTTCAGGAGGGTGGATAAATCCCACAAGTGTCTGTGGATCTGTTGATCCATGTTGCTGAAATTCAGAGGAACAGGGGAGCTTTCCTCTTTCTCCATTATGTATAAAGTAGTGGCAAAGCACCAGAGAGGTGCAGCCAGTTGTTCCAAAGGTGATGGGGACAGGGATCATGCTGGCCACAGTCTCTTCTGGGAGAAAGACACTCTATCTTCCAGCATCCTCAAGGTAGAAAAGAGACATCTTTACCCTTCTTTATGATTTTCTCGACAGCCCTTTTGTCTGTCTGCCTTTATGTTAATGTTCCCCTTTAGCTTTTCAACCAGCTGCCCAATTTCAACCAATTTTAATGGCAAGGCAGAGGTCTCAACAATTTCTCTAGACAATTTATTGGACATGTAAGGAGCTGTGGTGCTGAGGTAGGAGTGTTACATCCTATTGCTGTCCTGTAGATGGAAACCAAAGCACCCAGAGTTTGGCAGTCTGAGGAGATAAAGTGTGAGGGTATGTGATCCCTCACTCAGCCAGCAGTGTTGTAGGGGCTGTATGTGTTTAGGTAGTTAAATATCTTTGCATAATGAATCTGAGATAATGCCCCAGGAGGAGAAAGAAGAGATGAAAAACACTGAGTGCTTAAAATGACTTCTGTGCCCCCTGCTCCTGTATTGCTCTATCTGGGTGTGTGATTTTATTTATTGAGAATATTCCTTCCCTAATACTTATTTTCATTATTAAAATGATAGAAAATACATCCCCTAAGAATTCTGGGTACCTTTTTATCTGCACAAAATATATATTAATTAGATAAGTATTATGTTTCTTTTTTACTGTAGACTGTCATTACAATACTTTCAGTTCCTCCTACGTTACCAACTATGAAAAGAATACTGATGGAAAAATCCCCCAAATATAAACCACCCTTCATCAATGCAATAATGGAACAAAACATTGTCCTTCCGTGAACTGCATTCCTATGCATCCTACTCTCTCTAAGTGCTTGCAGCAATAGTGTGCATGTTTATGTCTGTGCATGAGTACATATCTGCATCTAAAAATTGTCCTTGCATGTGTACTCCTTTCATGGTCTTCACAGATACAAGCAGCACAGATACCAAGTAGTGCCTGTTCTGGCAGCACATTTGATGATATGGAGGTCTGTTATCCATTGTCTCAGAATTGCCTGGGGAAGACTACAAAGTGGAAGCACTGGAAAACACTTCAGATGAAAATGAAATACTGATTCTTCTGCACAAGTCTGAATGCATTTCACAACACATGCATGATGGAGAGGAGAAATCCTGCTCCTTTGAGCAAGCAGCATGGGGCTTGAAGATGCCAACAGGGCAAAAAATGGGGTCCCACTGAATTGCAGGTAGTGGTAGTACAATGCTTTTCTGAGGATGAACTTGTAGGTCATACAGTGGTGGAATAAGGAAACCTGCAAATTAGGGTTGTAGGTCTGCAATGCTTTTCATGGGGCTTGAACTAGGGAATTTGGTAGAACTCCATGAGGAGGTGAGTCTCCATCTCTTATAAATTACAGCCTGAGTGCTTGAGGGAGGGATTTATCTCACCTGTTTTACTCTATTTTTAAAAAAATTGATGTTTAGTCCAACTGAGTCAGCAGAATATCTATGGTTGTTCACAGGGAGAAAAACTGCTACTGATGCCAATCTGAAACAGGCCTGTGCTAAGAGTAATTTGGGATGGAAACTCTACATTTGCTGCTGAAAGTGCCTAAACTTAGTTTTCAGGCCACTGCTTTTAAGTGAGATAAACTCCCTCTGAAGTGAACTCAGATCAGAACTGATAGGAGCAGATACCTTAAATCTCCTGGAAATATTATCTAATATCTGGGGTCATCTCAGATGTCTAATTGTCTTTGAAAACTGAGCTCTGAGCTCCTGTGCTTTCCACTTTCATTTGTTTCTTCAAAATGACTGGTTTTATGGGCGGGATTAAGTCACAGAGGTTGAGAGAGGCTGAAGATTTATGAACAGCTATGAAAAAGTTATGGGCCATAGTGTTCTTGAGGTGGGGGGAGGCTACATTTGATGTTTCTACTTTTGTGCTTGTGATCATGTGCAAGTTTGTTCAGAAGGCCAGAAATGAGAGTGTCAGTTTATAAGTCACCAGTCTGTGCAGTCAATTAATTGCTGATTAACTTCCACTGCCTGCCAAACAGGGTCTTGCAGCTGAAGATAAAAATATTGAAAGTCACCTTTAATTTGCTGAAAAAGTTTGGTTTTCCCATATCAGGAATTTATGTTGTGGTAGCAAACTGCTGAGCACTACTCAGAACTACCATGGCTTGAAGGATTACTGACAATTGTGGAGTATTTCAAGTATGCTTAGCACCCAATAAAAAATTAATACAGATATTGCCACTGTAGATGACGTGAAGATAAGAAACCTAAGCTATGCCAGTAAAAAAACATAAAGCATCATTTTCAGTGAGGACCATGAGTAGGATATCTACTGTCTCCTGCAGGATTTCCTTCAGGAGCTACTCAGCAAGGCCTTTGCCCTTAGTGCAAGTAACTGGAGTAAGTAAGTCACTTTCTTGCCCATGGAAAAAGAGAAACAACCTGGCAGTACAATGACCAAAGGGCCTATAATCTTCCTTTTAAAAGATGGTGTTGGCTAAATTAAAAAAGACTGCCATGAGTAGTCAATCTGTGTAAGATAACTGTAGTGCCAGAGCATCAGTGACGTTCCAGCCCATGTTACAGTGAAGCAATGATGCTAGTGAGCTCTGCCATCACCCACCCTGAGCATTGCAGTGGCATCTGTGAGGGAAGCAGAGAGCTGGGACACACATGGTCTGTGAGAGAAACTCAAGGTTGACTTAAGAGGTAAAACAATGTCAACACTGAATATGAGGGAAAAAAAATCTGCAGCAAAACTCCCATCCTAAGAATCTTGGTCCTAAGTGGGTCATTTGTTTATCCCACCAGTCAAACCTGGCTCTGCAGCAAAGCAAGCCAAAGAAAGTCTCCTTTATTGTTTCCTGCTTACTCATCTATAAGCCATTCCCCTTTTAGATTATTCTATTTTTAAGGCATAATTTCCATCTGTTCTTTGATCTTATACCACATAAGACATTCAGCTAATAACATCATCCATCAAATACCAACTTTCCTTTGGAGTTCAAACACAATCGACACAGGACCCCGTCCATCTGCTGGCCAGTGCCTCTGAACAGATCCAGCTTGTGACTGGGCAGCTATGTCACCTATTTTTTAACTAACCATCTTAGGTCTGAGCTTCCCCTAACGCCGCAGGACGACTAGGGACACGCCACGGGAAAGTGAACCACCATCCTCTACAGAGGAGAAGAGGATTTGATGCATCCAGAGCTGTGATGTGCTTGTTGTAAGAGGGGTTTTCCAGTGGATAGAATCTGCCTTCAGCCCCTCAGGGAATTTATTTATTTTTTTTTGCATAAACCACCAATATTTTTCTAAAAGATTTGAAGGATAACTGTTTTCAAACTTGGCATTCTTCAGAGAAAGGTGCGTAAAGCAGAAAGGTAAGGTTTCCTTCTGTGAGCAAACTTCTGAGTTTATTTGAGAGAAATGTCAGGGCAGGTTGTCTGGAGCAGTGGAATTGCAGATTTGCAGACAAGAATTTGTACAGAAAATGCTTGTCTGCTTACCCAACTGGAGAGCCAGGGAATGTCAGATGATTTAGGTGACCAATTGTAGTGAAGCAGCACAGCTTGAATTAAGCATATCTGAGATCAATTGGAGTTAAAAAAAAAAAAAATCTAAGAAAAACTGGTCCGAAAAAATAGAAAGAGATTAATGAGTAATCCAGGAAAAGGTAGTTTTCTTGTGGATATTTTCCAAGTGCAGTTATCAAATTATTTAAATCAATACTGTCAGACTCTTCACTTAGCTCCGTTACCTTGATGGTCAGTGGTTTGCTTTATCTTGCACACAGTGCATTTGTTAGGAAGGAATTTGAGTCAGGATTTATATTCCACTGGCTTACACATGGCACAGTGTAAGTATCTCCAGATCCAAAACAATAACAACAATTTAAAAAGCGCCTACATTGCCTTCTATTTCCTGGCTTGCCAATAATAAGAAGTCCCTGCAGAAGGGAGTTTGGCTGGTGGTGCTTTGTGATTTCTCAGATAACAAGAGCTTCACATTTCTGTGGAATTCCCATTTGCCAGCGAGCTGCTGCTGCTGCTGCCCTGATTGATATATGACTGCAATGGCACTTTTCCATTTGACATTCCCTCTCTCTCTCTCTCTCTCTCTCTCTCTCTCTCCCTCTCTCTCTCCCCCTCTCTCTCTTAAACAACAGCCCTAACTTTTGTGTGTTGCAAATATAAAAGGCAAGCCATGTGACAGAGGGACAGAAGAACAAAAGCATTTGGAAGTAATAGGACCTCTTTTTTAGCTCTCTGAAGAGTGCAAGTGGAGGCAGGAATGGTGCATTTTCCAAAGGTAAGCACAGAGTTTCCTACAGATTTTTAGTATTACACGGGCTTAAACTGAGTGCTTAATGCCTTTATCTGACAAACATATGTTCTCCTTGTACCATTTTTTAAATTAAAATATGCTTGAATGGAACTGACACAGCTCTAGTGTCTGTGTCTCCTTAGCCTTGGATCTCTATCTCCTGCCCAAAGGATGCCTGCACACAGTCAAACAGGTAGCCCAGTGTGCTTCTGAGAAACTTGGTTAAACATCTCTTCTAGTGAGTGTGCTGCAGCCCTGAGCTGGTCCCAGCTGGGAGGCTGTGGAGTGAATGGATGTGCTGGACTCTGCCCTGAATTCATCCAGAGAGCAACCTCTTTGTCCCATTACAATAGGGCTCTATGAACACAGGCAAGCCTGCTAGTTTAAAGCTGGACTGTTTACTTTTATCACTACTTCTGCACGCTGCTCTCTTGCCAGTCATCTGCTGGAGTGCTCAGAATCATCTGAAACAACAGGCAATATTTATTTCTAGCTTCGTGTGTCACGCTTTGTGGGAGCGCTGGCGATTTGCACGTTATTATTTATCCAAACTTCTGCAGAGCTTTCCTATGGACTGGACAGCACTGGTTTTGGATTAGGGCAGATTTAACACAACCTCTTGATTGGCTGAAAGCTCTGAGGAAAGCCCCAGTGTTTGCTGTAATGCCGAGGGGTATATTTAGGAGGGAGCTGTCAGCGTGGCACGCAATGCAGTGTGGCTGTGCAGTCGGGAGCTGAGCCGGGAGGATGCTGCAGCACCCCAGACCTCCAGCTGAAGGAGAGAGGGAGGTTCTCCTCCTCTCCCTGCAGATCATTTCCCTGTGTGTCAGCGCCAGAGGCACGAGCATAACTGTTCTCTGTTTCTTTGGGACAAAAGAAGAGTTTCGCTGTTATGAGCCCAGTGACAAAGTGTCAGTGTAGTGTAACTGTGAGACTCAGGATCGGACACTGCCCTGAGAGAGCCCAGCTGAGGAACAGAGCCCTGTCTCCCTGCTAGGATTCAGGTGAGTGAATTCATCCTATAAAAGCTCAAATGAATGGGTCCAGTAGCTAAAAACCCGAGTAAGACAGATGAGCCGTGTGAAGATCAATCTCAGTGCTGGGTTAGCTCACTGCAGCAGTGTCACACAGAGCGTGTCTTGGGGAGGCAATTTTCTTGTGGCAAATCTGAATTTGCAATTTGGTTTGTGTGTGAACTCCTGTGGGACTGTCAGGCAGATTTCTGATCCTACCCCTCAAGCTCATTTAAATTTCTCATAGCCTCCCCATAACATATCTTACTTCTTTCTGCCTGGGACATATACCATGACAAGTAACTTATTAAGGTTTCTGCAGCTCTTTAAAGATGAAAACAATGTTTTCTATATGCTAAATGTTACTTACAGTTCCTAAAGCTTTGTAACTGTCCCAGTGGCTGAGAGATAAGAACTCTGCATATTGGAAAAGGACAGGGAAATGATTACTTAAAAAACAGTAGTGGGGACAAATTCACTTGAAGGCAAATGATTATTTGAAACCAGCAGTGGGAACAAATTCACTTCAAATCAGTTCCTTATTGCAAAATTATTTTCTAATAAAAGCAACCCAGCTGCCTGGTGTGGCCAGTAAATGTGGATGTAATAATCACAGTGCTATTATTTGTCCCTCCTCCAAATTATCTACAATTTAGGATCTTTCTCCTTTTATTTTTTCTACTTTTCAAATTAGTCATGATGCTCACTTTTGCTCAGGCTGTGGGACCTTACACATATCTGTGAGCAGTTATACACATGAATAATTCCCTGGACCTAAACAGAACTATTTGGTGAGTTATTACTTACCAGCTTGAGTCAGGGATTCCCAATGTGACTTATATACACATTGACATGTTCGTGCTGGAGAAAGGAAATCTTATGTGCAAAACTGGTATAAAACAATGCTCTGAGATTTTCCAGTTAAAAGCAAATGTGGAAGGAATAGATGTTCCAAGCCTACAAAATAAAATGCAATTTGATTTAGGGATGGGGTATTATTAGGAGCTGCTGCTGATTAGTTACAAGCTCAGTTCTCTACCTGAAGGTGTCCCACACAGGTTTCCTGTGTTTGCACAGCACCTGGTTTTGATCAGATGCATGTACACTATGATTGCCCCTGTAAGAGTAGGATACTTGTTACAGGCAGTCTTGTGTACAGTTTGCAGTAGCAATATCCCAGGTAGCTCCTTGTGGCTGATTTCCACAAAAGCCATCTGCCCCACTGGAACAATCCCTCACGTGCCATAGAGGCTTGTGATAGCATCTGTATGTTCTCGCTTGCTTGTCTTGCCAGGATTGCAATCTCCTTTGCCCAGGCAGAAAGGAAGCAAGCCACCTACTTGGGAGCTCACGTTGATGCCTAACGACTCGTTTGACAGGGAGTCCTCTTGGAGTCGACTTCATTCCCCATTTCCCCTAGGGCTGACTTTGTTCCCTTCCTTGTTTGTCTGCTCTCAGATGTACTAGTTTCAAGGTTGTCCTTGGACCACAAAGGGAGCTGACTATCTATGGCACAAAGCTTGCGTGAAGCCACTGAGACATTTGTTTTTGCAACCAATCTAGTGGATTAGTTGTTCAACTGAAAGAAGAAAAAGGCATCTTCCCATCCCACCCCAGCCAATACCGCCACTGGAATTACAATTATAAATATCTGAGAGTTGTATTATAAGTATTACAAATTCCTGTGCCGTTAATGCCCTTCTGAGTATGAGAGACTTGTCTCGGAGTTTTAGAAAAGTTTTGCTATGTGAGACCGTGCCACAGACCCATGTTATTTGAGCAATCCACCTCTTGAGTGAGGCTTGAAGCGGCCACATCAAAGAAAGACACAGACACCCTGTGGCAGGCAGCTAGGGGGAACTTGCCGTGGTGAAGAATTTTTCCCTAACCCCATCAACTGAACTCTCAGAGTCCTGAGAGTTTATAACCCTCCCCAAAACTCTTTAAAAATAAAACACTTGTGACTGTAACCCTCCCATACATAACAGGTCCTTTTGCTGAGCCCAGCTAAACTTTTGCCCTCTGTGATATCTTGTTCCACCGGATCATTGTCGGTTGTGTAAACACGTGTTTCTTTTCATCAGTGTTAAGTGTTCTGCCTCTCAGCTCCCCTGCCCTTCTCCATGTCCTGGTATCTTGGGATGGGGTGAGTAGCCATACTCAGATCACCTCTTTTTCTGCTGTCTTGCTCCCTGCTCGACAGCCCTTTCACTGAAACTCAGCTCAGTGGCAGGAGAAAGGTTTAGTTGGGTCAGGTTAGCTCAGATGTCTGAGCCAAGAGCACCCCACTTTGCCCATGCTTCTGTGCATGTGCATGAAGAGATGCTGCAGTCTCCACTGACTATGATCAGCTGTTATTTCCTTTTTATATGTGTCAGTGTGGAACATATTAAAATTTCTCAGTAGTGGTATGTTAGGAATCCCTCTGATGCCCCACCTCTAACTTAGCAGAACAATAAAAGCAAGGTTGTAGTAAGCCTTTGAGCAGCTGTCTGTCTATACATTCCTTCTTTTTTCACATAATCTAATTCAGACTATTATCTGGGCAGCAGTGGCACTACCACTGCCAGACACCATCAGTCCTTGTCCTGTTTATTGGAATTTCATTGTGTGGCATGGAGATCCTTTGTACCACAGGCAAGTGTGGCCCCTCTTCTGGTGTCAGGGTAGGGGGCTGCTGGTGCCATGGAGACACTGGTCCTAGGAATTCCTCCTCATTGCTATTTTTCAGCTTCTCTTTGTTATTTTTCTGTTTGCATCAATCACTGTTATAGCTTACACTTGTCACATTTCCATGCTTATTATTACTGAGGTGCAGACTGTGTTGGTCCAGCAGTGTGGAGGCTGCACAGGTTAAGTTGCCCTTTAAGACATGTGAGTTGAGGATCTGAGTTAATGCCTCAGCTCTGGTTTGGCAAAGGTTAAGCATACCATGGCAGTGACAATCACATTACTGTCATAGCAGCAGGGCTCAAAGGGAGTGGGACCTAGGGAATGCCTCTCCCCTTGTTAGAAGATATAAAATTGTTACCATGAGCCAAATATTTAGGTTCCCTAATTGTCAGAGGCTGAGGTATATGGATGGTGATCTGAATTTTCCCTGTGTATAAAAGAAGAAAGGATTTTGCCCTTAGGGCTGGAAAAGAGGGAACATCCCCTTCGATCGTGTACTGTCTCCAGTATGCATAGTACTCTCTGCTGGTCCCAGTGGCAGGGATGTCTTTGCTTAGTGTTAAAGAGTAAAAAACCCATTCCTACTCCTGCATTTATTGGTAACTACAGGCCTTTGACTTCTCTGGAAAATATGCAAAAGACAGAGAACAAAAACTGCCCACCTGCTTGTAACACACTCCAACAGGTAGAGGACACATGCCTGAATGCCCTAGACCTCTCAGCAACTTGTAATTTGGCCAAAAGTCATTTTGCCTCATGTTGGGTCATAAGACTAAAGTAGAGGTAATTACTGAAGCAAATCCTATAGCTAATGCTTGGCTGGGAACATTTGCACTGTAGCCAGCAGCCACCCTTGCTGGTTTGCCTCCTGAGAGGGATGGGAAGCCTTGCTTAGCTCAGCTCTGCATCTGGTGCTTCACCAAGGAGGGATCCCATCCAGTACCCTCTGGATGACCCAGTGGAAAACTGTATTCCTCTCCTGCCTGAGGCCCAAGACCATGACTACTCTGGTAGTCAGCGAGACACGGGAATAAAGAAAGAATCCAAGGCTGGCATCACCTCCCCATTAAATGGCTCTACTAGCTCATTAGAGAGATATCCCATGCATGCCCCTAATCAATCTATTTAAAGTTTCCTGGAAGCAGGAAAAGGAAAGAATAAAAATACAAGCAGTCTTTTGTCCCCCAGTAGTTATTCTTTGCGAGTGTATTAAAAACCTTTTCTCCATGCTGCCTGTGCCTGTCTGCTGGCCTGGTGCCAGCCTGCTGTACCCACTAGAGTTTGTTATTTCAACAGCCT